CCCATCTTCAAATAAATCATCTGCTTTTATTTTTATTTTTACTATTTTATTTTATTTTATTTGCGGTACCAGGGATTGAACTCAGGGCCTTGCACTTGCCAGGCAAGTGTCTATTCTACTGAGCTATCTCCCTGGTCCTCATCTGCTTTTATTGACAAAAAAAGAAAAATCCACGTGAGAAGTGAGGAGAAAAAAACAAAAATAAAATTCTGTCTTTCTAGAGCTTTAGAGTCAATTTGCTTTGGAAGCCTAAAGTTAAGTTAGTTTTATTCATATTTTACTTTCATTGAGTTTTTACTTTTGACTATTTCTTTTACATAGGTATCTGATTTCCTGTGTTAGTTTCATGTGGATCTACAGGGAACTTATTTAAAAACTAAAATTAAGAGATCGATTGTACTTCTAAGGATGGAGAAAGGTAGAAGCAAAAAATTATCATGAGACAAATGAAGTCATGATTAAGTTGGACGCCACACTGACACAGTTCACTCTAAGGTTTCACAGCTGAATTCAAATTGTGCTCTTAAGGATCTCTTAACTTCAGACATGTAGAGAACTGAATTTACTGAGTTCCACCTGCCTCTCCCCCTAAAAACTAAATCATCTGAATGCAATTCACGAGTCCTATATCAAGGGGAAGATTTCATCAAATAAGTTCTTATTTTATGATTCTAAGTATAAAATGCAGAAAGATAGATCTTTTTCAAATGGTAAGGGATCAACACAGGGGGGAAGGTGAAAACAGGAATCGAGATGTGCATGTACACCTACCAACTCCACAAAAGAAATACAGCATTAGGCACTACAAAAGTATACTAATAAAAATAAATTTTACATGTCATTTTACTAAGAATAAGAGTTCCCGGAGACTACTGAAAAAAGTGCAACTTTTCGGTTTCCTTCTCATGATGCATCTATTCATTTTTGCTGCACTGTTACCTCCATTCCCATCTTTAAAAAATAATTCTGTTGGTACATTTTAGTTATACATAATGATAACATTCATCACAGGGAATCGGTACCTGTACATGCTATCTTGACTCCTTTGTTCACATTTCTCTTTCCTCCCTTCAACCTCCTTGCCCCTCTTCTTTACATTTTGTTTCCATCTTTTTTCTTCTATTCTATTTTTTCCTTTTCTTTGTGTGTTGTTGGGTTTTTTTTTCTTTCATTCTTTTTTTTTTTGTATTTTAGGGAAGGGTCTACAGGGTGTTCAGGGTCTCACTACTAGATCGGACTCATAGTGATTCCCCCTTTTTTTAAGCCTCCCAAGAGCTGGGATTACAGGTGTGTGCCACCACGCCCAGTGTCAATCACTATCTCAGCATTCTCAGGGGCGGGACTGGCACAGCAGGCCCTGGGATCAAACTCTGGTCCCTGCACCTGCAGGCTCTTTAAGCCACTGAGTTATTAGGCTGGCCCTGCATTTTTTCCTTTTCCCTTCCTTCCTTTCCCTTTCCTTGTTCCCATCCCCATTTGAACATTTTCTATTTCACAATATGTATTATACATTTAGGTCCTTATTTACACTTTCAGTCTCTCACACTAGAGAAACCATGTGACATTTGAACATGTGTGTACAATTTATATCACTTAAAAGTATGGTCCCAAAGTGTACCCATTTGCCTAGAAATGTTTCAAGTTATCTTTTTTGTGGCTAAGCAGTACTGCATTGTACAAAACACAGCATTTTTAATCCATTCATTAGTTGATGGCTATTTGGATTGTTTCAAAGACTTAGCTATTACAAACAACTGCTATAAACATTGCTGTGCATATATCTCTGTGGTACGATGCTTTTGATTCATCAGAAAGATCCCAAGAAAGGCAATAGCTAGGTTAAATAGAACATTTAGTTTTAGTTTTTGAGGAATCTCCACACTGATTTCCACGTGATTGTATCAGTCTACACTCCCATCAATAGTGTAGAAGTGTTTCTTTTTCGCCACCGCCTTATCAGTATCTGTAATTGCTTGATATCTTGATAAAAGCCATCTTTCTGGAGTGAGGTGAAAAGAATGTGTTCAATTAAAACAATATATTCAGTGTTATTTTAATTTGCATATCTAAAATGAGTACAGATGTTGAACATTTTCTTCATATATTTATTTGCTATATGTATTTCTTCCTCTGAGAAGTGTGTATCCATCTCAGATGCCCACTGGGTCTTTAAATGTAGGGGTCTGATTTTATTTTTTAGTTCTTTATATATTCTAAGCAACAGCTGGCAAAATCTTTTTCCTACTTTGTTGTCTCTTCACTCTGTTGGTAGTTTCTCTTGTTGTGCAAAAGCTTTGTAATGAGATGAGATCCCAGTTGTTGATTCTTGTGATGGTTCCTGTGTGACTGCGGTTTTGTTCATAAAATCTTTCTTTACAGCTATGCCTTTGAATATTCTACATATTCTCTCTTTCAGCAGATTTGATGTTTCTAGTTTTTATTTATTTTTTAATCGGGAAATCACAAACACAGTTCTCCACTACTACAGATTATGCAGTTGAATTTCTCACATTTGAGGAAATCACAGAGGTCAGCACATCCAGAGTATAATGGATAAGCCTCACCCTGGTAAAACCACCTTCATGATCATGGTATTTCCCTGCTAGGTGAGTTGTCTGTTTTAATATTTAGATCTTCAATTCAATTCCACTATAGTCTAGTGCACAGTGAGAGATATGGGTCTAGTTAGTTGTTAGCATGTGAAAAGCCAGTTTTCCCAGCATTAGTTATTAAAGAGGCTATTTTTTCTTACAGTGAGTATGTTTGGCCCATTCTGTCAAAGATAACATGGATAAGTGTGTTTGGAGTTGTTTTTGCATCTTCTAGTCTGTTCCATTGATCCTTAGGTCTGGGTTTTTTGTTTGTTTATTTGTGTTGTTGTTGTTGTTGATGATGATGTTTTTTCAGGGGCAGGAGCAATATCATGCTATTTTTATTACAGTAGCTTTGTAGTGTAACTTCAAGTCAGAGATTGTGATTCTATCTGCCTTGTCTTTGTTGCACAGAATTGGTTTTGCTAATATAGGTTTGTTTTGGTCCAAATGAATTTTAGCATTTTCTCTGATTCTGTAAGGTATGCCATTAGTGCTCTGATTTGGAGTAGATTAAATCTGTATAACAATTTTGGGAGTATAGACATTTTTACTGTATGAGCTCTTCCTACCCAAGAACAAAGACTATCTTTCCATTTTATGAGATCATCTTCAATCATCTTTTTCAGAATACTATAGTTTTCAATGTAAAGATCTTTTACTTCCAATTGCCTCCATTTACTGACAAAAGACTCAAGTTTATCCTGTTTTATAGATGAATTATACTTCATTGTGTAAAAATACCAATGGATGCAACTAAAGAACATACTCTTAATTGAAATAAATCATACCCACGTGCATAAATATTGTACTGTCTCCTTAGTGTGATAACCTAAAAGAGAAAAATGGATTTGAAAGGTACAATAGGTAGTGAGAACAGGAAATGAACTTATTCAAAAGGAAAGAGTTACAGAGTTGAGGAGAAGGACAGGAGAGGGAGTAGGGGGAAAATATTTATCTATGTATGAAAGCAGAATAGTTTGGAGAACTGTACTGTGCATTTTTGCTGGTCTATGGAAAGAAGCAGTTAATTCTTCAGTTCATTTTGTTTCCTTTTTTCCAATTGTTTGTAGTTTTTCTCTTCTTAATTTCTTATACTTTTTATTTCTTCTTCCAATTTTACATGCATATATCTGGTAACATGAATAACTGGTTGGAAGACAACACTATGTATTACAACAAATACTGTGAAATTCATACTACTTTGTCAAGTGAAATTCTGTATCACTTGTAATTGTTTTAATTCTAATTTATACTCTCTTGAAAAAATTAAGAAAGATCTTTTACTTCCTTCAGCTTGATTCCTTTTTTCTAGCACTATTGAGAAAGGTATGGTTTCCCTAATTATTTCAAAAAGTTTGTTGTTTGTGAGAATGCTATTGATATTTGAGTGTTAGCTTTGTAGCCAGCTATGCAACTGGAATTATTAAATATATGTCTTTTGGCCGACTTTTTAGGGTCTTCAATGTAGAGAATCATGTCATCTGCAAATAATAATTTCACTTCATTTCCTATCATTATTCCTTTTATTTCTTTCTCTTGTCTAATTGTTTGGCTTATGTTTCCAGAACTATATTGAATAAAAACAGTGACAGCAGATATCCTTGACTTGTTCCTAATTTTAGAGTGAAAGCTTTCAATTTTTGTCCATTTAGTATGATGTGGCTGTTGGTTTATCACAGATGCATTTATCAGGCTGAGATAACGATCATCTATTCCAATTTTCTGTAGGGTTTTTATCATGAATGGGTACTGGACTTTGTCAAGAGTCATTTCTGCATCTATTGAGATGACTGTGTAGTTTTGGTCATTGGTTCATTTTTTCTTTTTTTAATTTAGGATGGGGTCTACAGGGTCTCACTGCATAGATCGGACTTGTAGTGATCCTCCTGTATACAGCCTCCCAGGTGCTGGGATTACAGGTGCATGCCACCACACCCAGTCTCAATCTCCTCTCAGCACGCCCCAGGGGTAGGGCCAGCAGGGCAGGCCCGGGGATCAAACTCCTGGCCCCTGTGTCTGCCTAAGCAGGCGCTTTAATCCAGAGCTATTTGGCAGGCCCTGGTTCTTGTAATATAGTATAGTATATTTATTTATTTATTTGCATATATTGAACCATCCCTCCATCCCTGGGGTGAGTCCTACTTGGTCATGGTGTATAATCTTCTTGATGACTTGCTGCATTGTTTGACAGTATCTTATTGAGGATTTTACATCTATATTTATTAGAGATATTGGTCTGTAGTTCTCTTTCTTAGTTGGATCCTTCTCTGGTTTTGGTATCAGGGTCATTCCTGCTTCCAAGAATTAGTTTGGGAGTATTTCTTTTCTTACAACTTCATTGAAGAGCTTGGGGAGTAGTGGTATCACATCTACTTTAAATTTCTTGTAATATTTAGCAGCGAATCCATAATATCTGGGCTTTTATTGTTGATAAATTTCAAATTATTTCTTCAATTTCATTGAGTGACATTGTTTTTTGTTTTGTTTTCAGAACTGGGGATTGAACTCAGGCCCTTGTGCTTGCCAAGGAAGCTCTTATTTTACTGAGCCATCTCCCCAGCCCCTGACACTGGTTATTTACAAACTTAATAGCTGCTTGATTCAGCTTTGGTAATTGATATGTATCTAGGAATCTGTCCATTTCATCTATTTCCCATCTTCTAAGCATGTAGGATCTCAAAGTATTAGTGATTGTAATAAATTGCTCAGTTTAGCACCTTAATTATGTCAACTTAGCAATCTTACACCCTAGAGTGTACAGCACCCACCCTAGGGTGGGCCATCAATCTTCAGAGGAGCTCCAGTCTTTGCGTTCAGCTTGGATGTCATCTCTTGGCTCCTGTGCAGAATCTTTGGCTTCCATCTTAGATCATTCAGCCTTCCAGTGTAGATTCTTCAGGTTCTTTCACAGACCCATTGGCCTCCTGATACAAACTAACATGGAAGATTGCAGTGAACTCAAGACCGTGGACTGAAACCTCCACTCTCTAGTGTTCAGACACCCTCTGCAAGCTTCCTCATCCAACTCTGTGGATGACCATCATAAATTAATTTTGTAATTTCTTATACATTTGTATATCTTGTGTTGTATCTGTTTCTCTAATAAAACACTGACAAATGCAGTGATCTTCTGGATTTCTGCAAGATGCACTGTGACTTCACCTTTTGCATTCTTAATTGCATAGATTTGAGTTTTTGTTTCTTTGTTTACAAGGTTGGCTGTTTGCCAATTTTATTTAATCTTTCAAAGAACAAACTCTGACTCACTATTTCTTTATATTGTTTTCTTACTCTCCTTTGTATTAATTTCTAATCTAATTTTTATAGTATCCTTCCTCATCTGAGGTTTGACTTTCTCTTCTTTTCCTAGAAATGTGAAATTCAACAGTTATTTACTTGAGCTTGTTCTATTTTACTGATGTGGAAATTTATCCCTATGAATTTCCCCCATAAGACTAATTTCACTGTGTCCCATAAGTTCTGGTAGGTAATGCTGGCATTAATTTAAATGGAGAAATGCTCTAACTTCTTTTTTAATTCCATCTGACCCATTGCTTGCTCAGAAGGCTGTAAGTATTGTCCATGTGTTCATACTTTCTTTTGCCATTGATTTCCAGTAAAAATCTTCTCTGAGCTGGTATGCTATTTTATAGAATGTCTCATTTACAGCTGAGAAGAGTGTGTATTATTCTGCTGTGGGGTAGAATATCTTGCTTTTTCATTGATTCCAATCAACTTTATGTTATTCTTCTTTGCATCATCTCGCAGCTGCTGGATTATTTCACATAGTCCCTTCATACTTTTAAGAAATCTTTCTTTTCATGGTTGCTAACAGCAATTCTTTCTCCTGAGTCAGTCTTCACACTGGTTTATTCTGTTGTGGATAGGTTCAATGGAATTTTTGTCTCCTGGTTATCTGCTTGAAGCTGCTTTATGGATTCCATTTCTTTCCTGGGTTGGACATTCATAATTTCCATCATTTTCCTAAGCTCCTCTATTTTTTTTTAAATCTGTATCTGCTCTAGAGTAACTAAGCACATTTTTTTTTATTGTGGTCACCAACTCTGTGGTTATATGTGATTTTTTTTTCTGATTTCTCTTTTTCTAGAGCTTCAATCATTTGCTTTGTTATTACACTTCAGAGAGGCCAAGTGGGAAGCCTTCAGATTGTCCTACTTCATCGCCGTCTCTGTTTGCCTTTGCTGCATGTCTGGGGTCACATCTTGCTTAAGCATCTCCTCATTTTCTTTTTCGTTCTTTTCTTAAGGCTTTTAAGGGTGCTGCTTATAAATTACCTATGGTGAGTAACTTTACTGATGGTATGTAGAACCCTTCTAAAATAACCACTTCCCAGGAATGTCTTTCAGGTTTATCTGACTTTTGAGTTTTGGTCTATTGCAAGATGCTACCTCTTCCATCTATTTGGGATGAGAGGTTACCACCTACTTGGCCCTTATGCAATCTCAGCCTTTGTATACCAGAAAGAACAGCTGGTTAAAGCAATTATGTCACTTTGGCTGCAGTGGTACAATCAGCAACAACAGTAGCATCAAATACACCCTAGAATATGATAAACTGAGGTGCTCATGAATTTGCACCTTTAGTCACATGAACTAAATCTGAGGTTATATAACCAAATCTAAACAAATTATAAAATGGTCTGCAGTAAATAAGCCCTCAATACACCAATTTTTCCCTCAAGGGAGAAAAATTAAAAGGAGTTGGGGGAAAAAGAGAAATCCAAGAAGAGGAAGAGATCATAAGCAAGGCTAGAGGACAATGGAAGATCATGCAAACTTCAGGAAACTAGTGCAAAAGATAGGAGGGAAAGATAGAGGAAAGAAAAGAAAGGAAGAACAAAACATCAACCACAAAAAAATCCTACCAACGACATTCACATTCAAATAAAAACAAGATGAAACAATGAAAACAAAATAGGAAAGGAGAGAGAAGTCCACTTCAAGGTTTATCTCTGCTGTCACTGGCAGACAACATGTGAAGACAAAGTCCAAAACCATGT